GCCTCTCCAAAAGTTTGTATTCACCTCAAGAATAAAAAGCCAGAAGACAGACGAGCACACCACCCTAGAAAGATTTCAGCAGCAGAATTTCTCACCTCTGGCAGGGCAAGGGTAAGGGCAGCACATGAGGCATTCAGCTAATTATAACCCAACATCTACCTACCAGGAACATTGTAGGGAATGTTACCCCAGTTTACACAGAGCTAGAACCAGATTTTTCTTTACAAGCATCAGAGAGGTTTGCCTAATCTAACAGTTTGCTTCTTAATTCCAAGGGTATAAGAAACTGGGGAGCCAAAAACGGGGAGAGGGGTGTAGAAAAATCTATTTTCTATTCCTCCCTTTCCAAGGCAGTGTAATTGGTCTCTTCCCAAGAACAATTAAAATGTGACAGGCACCATACAAGCCAGCACAGCAAACTCTCAGATGCTATAATCTGGGAGAAAATGCCATATTTAACCATTACTGTTGAATAGGCAAAGGGTAGAGGTACCTCTCCTCTGCAGAAGTATGCCCTCAAAATATGGTAAAGACCGTGGTCTCCAGCCACACCATTGTCCCAATTTATCTGTATGCAAAAAGTAATGACACATACAACCAAGTGAAATGGCCAAGAAGATTATTTATTCCAGGAGAAAGACACTTTAAGCACCATCAATCAGAGTCTGAACACCAAAGGTGAAATCTCAGCCCTGGCAGAGCCAGCAGAAGTTTTTCCCCCAGTGACTGATGGGGCCAGCTCTCCTCTGCAGCATAGAGGGAACACACTTTGTTTTTAAATGTTAAGTAACTCATGTGAAACGTCCAGTGTTTTTAAAACTACACATTTCCCTATTACAACCATGACCTAATACTTATTCAGTGGAGATCTCTGGTGGAAATAAGTGCCAGGCACATGTTTTGTTGGTCAGCTGGATTTGTTGACCATTACATCAAGTTTTACTTTCAAATACACTTGTGCAGTGTAATCCAATTAGGGCTTAAAGCAACACTGACGCTGTTAAATTATATAATTAATGGCAGTAATAATTACTGTATTTGTACAGGCTATGACCAGATCAGGTATTTCAAAGGCAGCTGATCACAGTATTTACACGAATATAGGAGAACATAAAACAAATAATTATTCCTTTTGTAAGCATCTCAGTCCCTCTGTAGCTGTTTCAACTTTGCTGATATGTGACTCTAGTGTGGTAAGAGATCTGAAACTATTCTTAGACCATGGCAGAAAGCATGAAGTGGTTTCTTGGCAGGTCTTACACTCCCCACTATAATGAGAGCAAGTCACTTCGTTTATTTCCCTGTCAGATGAGCAGAGAGAAGACTGAAAGCCAGAGCATAAATAAGCTCCTCAGACTGTGAACAAGAACAGAGAAGGAAACAGGTTTTGTGGAGGAACCAGCTGGCTCCTCCCCATCTCCTTTGCAGAAGTCCAGCCATGAGCTCATAGCATATAGATGTAATTTAAAAAAAAAAAAGCCAAATCATATTTTTCACCTCTCCTTTTGAATTCCATTGCTTCCTTGAAGTCAAACACAGAAGGCTTTACAAACTAAACATAATACTTAAGCAGGTTCACAAGGCTCCTGCTGCTGGGTCTTGAAGGAAGAGGAAGAACAGCAGGATGGAGACAATGCCACTAGACCCTGGTCAGGGAGACAAAGGCAACTCCTCCTGTGTTAAAAGCTGTCAAGATGTGCTGGCATGGATGCTTCAATTATTCATTTTTTTTTCTCGTTTGTAGATTTAATTTAACTAGTGGGAAAAAAAAAAAAAAAAAAAGCTGAACTTCAAGCCTAAATGTCTTAGTCAGGGAAAAAGAATATTTTTCATCTGAATGCAAATGAATTTCCCACTTTCCATTTTTAGGTCCCATTAACAAACTCGAGCACACAAGCCCCCAAGACTCCAGACCACTTTTGCTATGAGCTGAGGTGCTCAGGGAAGGCAGAGATGTCTCAGTGTTGGGTTTGCAGGAAGGAAAGGGGTACAACCCTACCAAGGAGGGCCAGGGCTACTGACCCAGCCCAGGGTCACAGCACCACGCTCTCCCTGTCCCCAAATTCAGCTCTGACATTGGCCTCAAGCAGAAGGGACACTGGGCTCATATCACCAGTTTTGCCCCCTCTCCCTTTCAATGCTAAGAAAAGAAATTAAATCTGAAAAAAAATAAAAAGTGAGGCCTTTAGGTTTCAGCAAACATGGAATACCATGGTCATGGGGTGTTGGGGAAATATGACTTCTTCCTATTCTGTTTATAAACAGACTGAGCAGCAGCTTCAGCTCTGACAGCTCAGGGCACTACAGCCCGTGTAGCAGGATTGCAAAATACGTGATTCTTACGGGTTTACTTTTTGTAAAAATAGAGGATTTGTGCCTGTCTCAAGTGTTGCCCTGCCTTGTGACAAAATAAATGAGCAAATCTTTCTTCTTAAGAGCTTAAATCAAAAATATGCATACGTTACGTTTATGACCAAAAAAATGTTCAAGGAAGCAGCAAGGAGAGGCACGGATAAAAAGGGAGGAACAGAGGGATTTTAAGACCATGCCACAGGGTACACGAAACCCTGTCTCGTCACAGCGCCGGTTTACATATCGGTCTGCTACATTAAAAATAAACCAGACCACCCCTTTATAACTCGCCTAATAAGGCGCAGCGTACATACATTTATGCGCGGATCAGAGCGCGGGGTTTCTGCGCTGCCTGAGAAGCCCGGGGCACTCCAAGCCGGGCTGTAACCCAAAGCCCGGCTCGGCCATGGGGCTGAGCCCCAGAGGTGCCAGCGAGCCGCGGGCTGGCGGGCAGCACCAAACATGGAGAAGGTGGCACCGCACCAGGCGACGGGAACTTGGACAGCCCGGCTAGCAACCAGTGTTTGCAAACACAACACCGGGGATCAGATGGGCCGGCCATAAATTAGGGCCGGGCAGCGGAGAGCGGGGGAAATCGCTCGAAGTGACAAAGCCAGGCACGGAGGGCTCCCCGGCCACCCCCGGTTTCGTTTTAGCGCCTGAACCCAGGGATGGGGATGCGGCGGCGCCCGGGCTGCCGAAGCACGATGGAAAAAACGCTATCTTGTCAAGTGAAACTAAATAACCAGTGCTGCCAGCGCCACTCCCCCAGCTCGGAAACTTAGCCACAGCCTTCCCAAATGGTGCTTTATCCCATGATCAACTCCATCTGACCCCAGCTGGAGCCCCGCTTCAAAGAACGGGAGGTGAGTTACGGTGATGGGGGAGCTCCCCACTGCAGGCTCCCCGAGGTGAGGTCTGCTCCAGCCCAGCTCATCACTATATTATCCAAAAAAGCAAAGGATTTGGGCTTTCTGTCTTCTGGCACACTTCCAGATATGTTGACAGGCCAGTTTGGGGAGGGGATTTCTGCTAAGCAGGGCTTTGAGGTAACATTTCTCAGTGTCTGAAAGCCAAAAACGGCCCAAGGAGTCCCACGAGTACCTGGTTAAACCCAGAGCAGCACACAGAGATGCTGGAAGAAGAGAAGGGGCTGCCACAACCTGCCCAGGGGGCCCAACAGCTCTGTGCTGCCCAATTACTCCATCTCAGCCACCATCTCACTCCAGGTACTGAAAAGGTACAGAGAAGCTACCCTGTTTTCAGAGGGACACAGAGAACACCTTCAGCACACCACTTTTCTAAGGATAGGAAGGCTTGCAGACTACAACTCACATACCCAGCTGCAAAGGCTGTACCACAGAAGGATTACCACCAGAAGGGCAGGACTCCAGTGGCAGCCTCGCTCTGCCAAATACCTCATCTGCCTCTTCCACAGATGAAGGGCATCATCATAACCCAGAGACTCAATGAAAGCATACTGGGATCCTGTAGCAAGTACCAAAACAAGACCAGCATGACCACACTCTTGCCAGGAGCAAGAAGACAGTTCAGCAATTTCAAGCTTCCACAAGATACACATACACAGAGAAGTATCTCACAGGACCCTTAGTTCTTACAAATCCATGAAACTCAGCTGAGGAAAAGGGATAAAGTATCAGCCCATTCCATTCTCCAGCCACACCGTGAAGGTTGGAAGTAGCAAGCTGCACAGAAAAATTAAACGAATTAAATACATACAGTATGAGCTAAGCAGCAAATCCTTCCATAGTTTCCCACTGCCACAGCCAGTCTCTGCCAACCATGCCTCCGAATGGCATAAACACCCAGGGGAAAGGAAATTTAATCTAGAGGGCAGCATTGTTATAAATAGGATCTCGAGAATAAAGTGAAGAAAAGGAAGTGTCCTTGGATGATGCCTTAATTGGTGGGGCTCATCTCCAGCAAAGCATTAAGGGACAAACCAAATTCCGTATTAAAACAAGAGCCTTTACAGGAAAGCCATATACATACATAAGCACTCATACACAGAAACACAACGCTTTCAGATCGCTTTTTAAAGAAGTTGTCTCTCTCTGTCCATATTCTGACCCCATATCACCAAAACAAGACTTGATTGCTCCTCAAGTTTTGCTGACTGGTCCATGACACAATGCCTCAGACCAAGTGACCTCCCTCGTCTTTCCTTCCCCCTTCTACTCTCCCACTGTCCATCTCCAGCACCTATGAGCCCAGTTTTACAAGGACTAAAATAAGGCTGCTAAGTAAAGGTCAGTCTGACAAGCTAAAAGAGAAGCATCCCCTCCTGGACCTTGGCTCCTTGGGCTATAAATACTCAGAACAAGCACTGGGGGAAATTCTTTTGTCTGCACAGACAGACACCAGGAAGCACATTTCCTCCTCCTTCCACTTCTCAACCCTCCTGCTACTCAAGGACAACATTCAAAGGAAAGCAAGCACCTCCCTGCTACCAGCTCCATGATTTGTCCACGGAAGGCATTTGCTTTGGCACTGGTGACTCGAGGCACACAGACCTTCCCAGAGATAAACAGATGTTTTCAAGGTCCAACCATCAGCGAGGCTGACAGCAGAGAGCACACAATGCAAAGCAAACCAACACACTGTGTCTGGCCAACGAGGAGGATTACCTTTTAGGACCAGGGGCTCCTTGCCTTCTCTCTTGAGTGACTCTAGCACTATGTGGAGTGGCTGGGAAGGCATCACTCTGCTTGGCTCATTGGTATTCTCATCATAAACCACGATTTCTTTGGAAAAGATTCTCTTGAAGGAGTCCTTGCCTTCCCGGCAGGAGATCAAGTCCAAGACGGTGATCTTGCCCTGCTGGAGCCTTCTCCGGCTGATCTTGTCAGAACAGTTAATGTGGACAGCCCCTTGAATGTGGCTCTTATTATACTCCATGAAGGGCCTGCAGTCAATGATGACAGGCCCTTGGCTCTGTTGGTGGCTCTTGCTGCATTTGGTCATCTTCTTGGCCAGATCATTGGGGTAGATGATTTTGATGCTGGCCAGCTGCTTGGCGCTGCCCGAGACAGGGCTCCCCACTCCGCCCAGCGGGCTCAGGCTGCCGGCGTTCTCATTGCTGTTGACCATTTGGTTGGCAGGGCAGGCGGGGGAGGCTCCGGCGTGGGTGCTGCTGGTGCTCGCTTGAGTTTGGGCCTGAGTGTCCTTGTCGTACGTTGCCACAGTGCAGCAACTGGCACTGCTGCATCCACAACTCAGGGAGCGTGCAGAGCCGTTGGATGAGGGCATATACGTGAGATTAGCAGTCTTTAGGGACACGACAGCTGCGCCGAGCAGACTGGGGTGGCTCTCACCAGCAGAAGAGGCAGATTCAAGGAAGCTAGAGTCTAAACACAGGTTGAGATCCTGAGGTCTCACTGGCCTCGAAAGTGCCACTACTACCCTGTCGTCTAAAGGAGATGGAGGCATCAGGAGGCTGAGCACTAGCAAGTTCAGAAGAACTCAAGATCACCCTGAAAAAGAAAAAGCAGAAGGGAAAGAAGAAAAAAGGTGATGAAAATAGATCATGAAATCACATAAACCTACAGATCCAACAACTTATTTTGCCAACATCCATTATCCCCAACCTAACAACCCCTTCTGACAGTTACCAGCTCACAGCAGTCGCTAAAAAGCCTTTTCAGTGCTGCAGAGAATACTTCAGCTACCTGCATGTGCCCCCATGGCACGCAGAACTCACACGAGCAGCCTGGACCGTGCGGTGACACCCAGGAAGAGGCATTTAGCTACACGCAGATGGTGCTGAGCTATTCCGAAACCCCAGGCTGCAAGGCTCGCCACTGATAATGACAGAGGCACACTCCCTCATCCCCTTGCTCACTGAAAAGGAAGCACCTACTGGGCTGAGTCTACTACAGGGAAGAACGTGTAAGAGCTGAATAGCTGAATGTGTCAGGGGTGATATGCGACTTTTCCAGCATGCTGGAATAAAATTAGCCTGTGAATAAATTTTCTGAGACAATTACAAACTTGAACACGTAAAGCTAAACAAAAAATACCCAGAAGAAAACAGAAAAAATAGCTTCTGGAGATCCTTATAAGCACCTTGCACTTCCCTGCCCCGTTAGAGGTGAATCCAGTCCCAGTTAAGCCCCTAGCTTCAGTCTCGGGAAGGCTGCTGCTCTCCAGCAGTCCGTGAGGCAAGTTCCCCACTCCCCACCGCATTTCACTCTTCTACAAAGAGTGATTCCCTCTGCTCCAGCCAAGGTCACTGCCTGCCCAGCCTTTGCCTTCCCATTTGCTAAGGCGCAGCACGCTGGATTTGAATCCCCCCGTTTCCACTCGGAAGACAAGGAAGACCACAAGAGCAAAACACCCAGAGCCAACCCTAACAGTGCGTCTCTTTCACCAGCAACTTCGGGAGCAGCGCAGCTCTCTCAGAAAAACCCATCCCAGCACCAACTCCACCAAGCCCTGGGAGCGGGGCGAGCACTCGCAGCTCCCGTTTGCCGCCCCAGCTGGCCCTACCGGGCCGGCCGGGAAGCGGCACGGAGATGTCCATCCCGAGCAGGGGGCGGCAGGGGGACACTGTCACACTGTCACCCCCAGCAGCCGCCGCTGTACGGAGCGAACCGCGGGCACCTCCGGAGCGCGGAAAGGTAAAGGTGCGGCGACCCGCCCGGGGCACGGAGGAGCTGCCGCGGCCGGGCACAGCGCGGCTCGCTCGGGGCACGGCTTTCCCAGCCCGCTCTTTTCCCAACTCTCTCCTCACTCTGTTTTAGGATAACTCGGATAAGGGCGCCCTGAGCGCCTTCGCCTGACGCAGTCAAAAAATTTAAATAAACGAGGGAGACAACCCAGTTCCCCCAGCGAGGGGAAACAACGAAAGAGCCCACGAAAAGCGGGAAGCTGAAGTTTTGCCCCCGATCGCAGGGAGCGGGGGTTGCCGCCAATCGCGCGGCGGGCCGGGCCGGGCCGGCGCTCCCCGGCGGGGCTCCCGCAGCGGCGGGCCCCGCTCCGCGCTTTGCCATGCCGTGTCCCGCGCGGCTGGGCTGGGCTGCCCCGCACTTACCGGCGCGTCGCGCCCCGGCGCGGTGCGCGGAGGTGGCGGCGGCCGCCGCGGGAGGTGCCGCTGGTGCCGGTGCGTGTCGCGCCCGCTGCCCCGCGCGCCGCCCGCCCCGCGCCCCGCGCGCCGCCCGCACCATCCTCGTTACTTTCTCTTTTGCTACCGCGTAAATGTACGGCCCGGCGGGGGCGGGGCCCGCGCCGACGGGCGGCCGCGCCGGCCAATGGGAGAGCGGGGGGCGGCTGGGAGGGCGGGGCGGTGACGTCACCGGTAGCCAATGGAGAGGGCGCGGCGCCGGCCCCGCGCCCCGGGGCAGCCGCTGCTCCCCGCGGACGGGCGGGGGCGGCCCGCGCGCGCGGCCCCGCGGCAGCGCCCCCCGCAGGACGGGGAGCGCGCGGGAGCGTCCCCCGGGAGCGTCCCCCGGGAGCGTCCCCCGGGAGCGTCCCCCGTCCGGCCGTGTCCGCGGCCCACGGGAACCGGGTCAGCGGCAGCAGCTACGGGAGCAGGAGAGCATCAGCCCCGGTCCCGGCAGCGGGCAGTGCTGCCCGTCCGCCCCAGTCCCGCCGCAAGCGGCTCGGCAGTGAACGAGCGGCCCCAAGCCGAGAGGATGCTGTTGAGGCGCTTTTCCAAGCGGTCCTTTTCTGTCACATACAAGCCCGCACGAGGTGCTTGGGAGGAGGGAATCCCAGCAATCACATCCTCTCATGGGTCAGTCCATCACTGATCAACCCACCGGGACACAGACAGGGAAAGTGGCATCTCCAGAGCAGTGCGTCCTCCCATGTCCTTCCTAACTATGGCAGTGACAAAGCGTTCCACATACAACCGGGAATGCCAACCCTTTGAGCTACAGGAGGAACGATGAAGTTAGAGCTGGTAAGAATGGTGCATCCTACCAGTCCACTCTGACCATGGAAGCACTGGAGAGTTTCACCTACAGCCCACCATGCAAACCAGCCTTTGAGCTACAGGAGGAAGGGTGAGGTTGAAGCAGGTAAGAACAAGCAGAACGAGCCCACACTAAATATTTGGGAGTAGAAGAAGAGTGGTTTCCCCACGCAAAAGCAGTAAATCACAGGGAGGGCAGGAGATGTGCCCTGCACTGCCCAGAGACAGCCAGGCCTGGCGGTCCCTGCCTGCCTGACCCCCAGATTAAAGACAGATCCAGCTGCTCCATGTTATGGAAAGTCAGATAGAACCCAGCTTTGGTGCATTGTCTAGTAAAGATCCTGAATTTTCAGATTAGACTAGACTCTTCCAGTGTAAAAAGGAAAGCAGCATAAGCTGAAGGACAAGATTTTAAGGACCTGTTACAAGGATAAGCACGAATCTCTTTCATCCCTTTTGTCAGAGGCTGACATGGGCAAAATAATGATCTTTCACCCTTGCTACGTGAGCACTACAAGGTGAGAATTGATTTTCAAGTCACATGGATCAGCTCATCACACACACTAGGAGGGTACCTGGCAGCAGCACGGGATTTCTGCACCCCTTCCTTCCTCACTGTGCAATCTATTTACACGTTTCCTGGTTCAGCTGCCATGTCTCATCATGTACCACGCCATCACATATCAACCCATTAATTCAGAGACAGGGAAAGTGGCATCTCCAGAGCAATGCATCCTCCCATGTCCTTCTTAACCATGGGAGTGACAAAGCGTTCACCTACAACCAGGTGTGCCAGCCCTTTGAGCTACACGAGGAAAGATGAAGTTAGAGCTGCTAAGAAGTTGTCAGCATGAAAACACTGAATCTAAATTAGCCCCCAAAGTTTTTGGTTCTGGGATGTATGCAGATAATTAATGTTTCAGCTGGGATTTTCAAGCTGTAACTACCAATCCAACTGGGTCTATTGCAAAAAAAAAGTATAAAAAGCAGTAATAGCATAATCCAGATTTAAAAAAATTTAAAATAGAAAGCAAGAGTTTAGAAACACTGAATACTTGATTTTTAAAATTAATAATTCTAAGGTAAACAGCAAGTCATAACCTTTTCCTCACAGCCATTCTTTAAACAATCAGTTGCTTCTCCTAAATGTTCCTTGTAGGACAGCAGCTCATCCGGCACGAACTCAGGGTTTTGGTTTCCAGTGTTGTAATACCACAGCAGGGCACCAGTTCCCCTGCACGCTGGAAGGAAGGGGAAGTGGGGGAAGGCTCTCACTTGTAACAGCTTCACCTGCAGCAATCTGCTCCCCCTGAGAGCAAATGTGGGGAAAGACTTCAAGCAATTAAGTCACAGAGTGACTTCACCCAGCACAGACCACAGTCTGGAGGTATTACCTTCTGAAGTCCTCATACATAAACGCAAACCAGGTTTTGAAAGAGCTGTGCAACTGCTGCATGAACAGCTGCCCTCCCCAGCAAGGAGGCAAACAGCTCCAAGGAGAAATGCACTGGTCCCAGACTCTGCAAACACTGGCCAGCTCCCCAGAGGTGCCACTGTGAGACACCACTAGAGCATTGCCAGGCTCTCTATTCCTCTTTGTCCTTGCTGAGGTTGGCGCTGGGCTCACAGCAGAGGAGGGGTAGCTCGTGCTTCCCTCAAAACCTCCCTTTCAGGCCACGCTTGGGCTTGGGGAAGGAGCTTCCCGTGGGCTTGTGTTCAATTCACCACCTGAAATGGTCCCTCCAACCAGGGCAGCTGGAAACTGTATTCCTGTTTGTGCATCTCCCAAAGATAGACATCTCCTAAGGCAAATATTTGCTAGAAAACACTTGGAATCATTGTTTAGCAACCTTTTACTTTCTGACCAGACTTCTCACTACAGTACTAACAATGTGCACCAAGAAAATGTTTTGTGACTTGCTTATGGAGGAGTTCTCCTCACAGGAGAGCTGTGCAGGGGTTACTCACAGCAAGCAATGCTCCCTTCTGAAGGATACTCAGCCTTTGCCAAGTTTTCTTACAATACAAAGAGAGGCCAAATGTTGTTTTGTCTCATATTTTACTTAATTTTTTTATTTTTCTAAGAATATCGATTGTAAGTTGCTATTCCCCCTCAGTTTCAGAGGATTTCCTACACAACTTTTCTGACTTCATGCCTAATACATTTTATTAGCCTATGACACAAGATTGGCCTTTTTCCTGCTCTCAGAAACCACAGCCCGCTGTGACTTTTTTCCTGAGCATATTCAATGAACAGCTTTCTAAATGCTTTTGCTGTCTGTAATTCAACACCCAAAACAGACAAGACTTATCTATTCCCTAAAAACTAAACTTCTATTCTCTGAAAAGCACACAAGAATTCTTACTATGAAAGCTGGCAGATCTTAGTTAAATTCCCACTTCCAGCAGTAGCAGCACATGGGATTTTGACATTTATTTTTCTCAAATGCTTTTGCCACCATGGTGCACTTGCTCAGACATTTGAAGAAAACCACAAGCAGACAAAGTGAAATCATCTCAGAATTGAAGCAAATCCTCATAAACTCTCACAGTAAACTAATTGCATAAAATCCACTCAAACCCGTTCAATCTCACAAAAAGGGTAAAGACTGCTAAAAGAACATGCTGAATATTTATGTGAAAAAGAAGCCATCAAAATTCTCACCAACAACACAGACACCGTTTAAGTGCTCTCAAACTAAACAGTTCCTTATTATTGAAAGATTTCTTCCACATCAACCTTTCTTCCACTCTACAATCAGGGACCTTTTATCTTGTTTAGGATTAGAAAAAGACCCAGAACATAATTGCCTTCATCAACACAGCCATGTACAGCACCTGCCCTGCACGTAAGCAGAGAAGAAGGTGTGCTGTCCTGTCCCCTGAACAGTCAAATGTTTGGAGTCATGCACGAAGAAAGGATTCACCTGTTGAACATACGACTGCAGAATGGGGCTCTCCAATACTGGCTGCTCTCTGGGGTAGCATTATTCTGGTTTTAGGGCACAGTAACAACCAAAGCTGGGATTTCACAGTAACAGGCTGTGTGTAAAGACAACAAAGGACAGACAACAAAGCCTGTACCTCCTGAGACTTTCATTTGAACACAGCAATGCAAGTTCCCAATTTTACCGGTAGAAATGGGAAGCAAGAGGCTGAGTGACTTCTCTAAAGTCACACAACAGCTTACACAGTGGAGCAGAAAATTGGGAAACTTGGGAAAACAGGTGCTAACCAGCACAGTATTTCAACTACAAACCTGTAGCTCACACTTCATCAGGTATCACATGAATTGGCTAAAATAAAATGTCCTTGGGAGATAAGTTGTGAACACAGAAAATCAGTTTAAATTTGCCCATTTGTTTTTTTAAGCACTCTGATTCTTGGTAGGTTTTAATTCACTGCATGGCACCTTTGTGTGTCCTTGTTAGAAATGTCAGTTCACTACACAGGCAAAGCTGAGAAACCACTGTTAGC